GCACTGATTTCTCCCATGAACCTGTTCCTAGTGTCCAAAAGACACTGTGCGCTGCACGCTTTATATACCAGCTCCCAAAATATCCGAGTCCTGATAGGATGAGAAAAGGCTGTCATGTTCTCGCACCAGGCCAATTACGACGCTGCAGTTCCTGTGCCGTTAAAGATGTTTCCTGTTGATAGCGCGAGAGGACAACATAGCACTTAGCTGCTAATGTTATCGGGGACCCTTGTGACCTCTCGGAAACTTTAACAATTGCTGCGTTCACAACACGTAGCCGGCTCCGGCGCGGGCTCGGGCTTTAATAAATAAGGCTGCGGCAAAATAAACACTCGTCCCGCGGCCGTTCGCCTGCTCCGGGCTGGGAATTCGCTAAGGTGGCAGGAGACGGGGGAGCTGCGGCAGCGGAGGGCTCCGAGACCCCCCAGCACCTCTCCATTAAGTCCTTTCCAAAGCAAATCCCGTGAAAAGGAGGAATTTCACTTCGTAAAAATGAAGATTTATTTATTTATTTACACAATTTTAACCTCACTCATTTTCAATTTCTCGGGCCCCTTTTTGGTTTGAAGGCTGCCCCCCTCGCCCCTGTCCATACAGCTGGCGTTTAGCAAGGCCCTCATTCCTGTCATTTGCCCTGCATCTTCTTTGGCATTTTTTTACTGAAGCCTCCACTGTTTGGGCTCCTTCGCGTCCCTGCAGCGCCCGTGGGACTTGGCACCTGAAACGTGGCACAAGTGGCAGCCCAAAACCTTTGCCCAGGGCCTGGCGGGGTTTTGCCAGCGCCAGATCTGGTGACCTGAAGAGCCGCAAGCAACAACCTCCACTGGGGGCTTGGTCCGGCCTGCCCCATTTCTCTGAATCCACCTGCTTTTCTTTAGAAATACACATAGAGAAACCAGGGTGCTCTAGGAAAGGCTCAGGTTATGCAACACATTGGTCCTTAAGGACAAAATAGAAGAAAGGTTCCATTTTTTGTTAATAGAAAAAAAATACGTTTTTTAAAAGTCTTATAATTAAATATTGGACTCAACGTTTCTCAGCAAACCCCGTCCTGTGTCCACCCATCCCCGGGACGCACAGATGCAAAAACAAGCGGTGTTTTCCCATGCCTGTTCCTAGGAAAACGAGAGCCCCTCTCACGGCAGCGCCCTGGGTGCCGCCAGCTCCCGCGTTCATTCATTTTCGTAGCACAACATGGAGCGGCTGGTGTTTGCACTGTGCGAGATATTTGTTGTTTTACATTTCTTCGCTTTGTATTGGAGAGGGGCCCGCAACAAAACTTCGATCCAAGGTACAAACCCGCAGCCAAGATTCGAGCTAAGCCTCGGCCGCGTTCCCCGGAAGGGGCTGCGGCCCAGCAGGCCGCTGCGGGGAGCGTCTTGTGCAGGTCGGTGCCGACTGTTCGGACCCAGGGGTTCGGTTCAGTTCGGGTCCATTTCTCCTTAGTTATTGACCTGCAAGTGAACGTGGAAGCTTCTGCAGGGCTGCTGTGGTTGGAGAGCGAGCGCTGAGGGAGCCCATGGCCGACCCAAGGAAGCCAAGAACTCAAGACCAGAACGATCCTAAGGGAATTCCGGCAGCTTGGAGGGGGAGCGAGAGGAGAAGAGGGAGAAAAAGGTTTGAGGGTTAAACTAGCGATTACTTCTGTTATTAAGAATGAAATTAGCACAAGCCCCAGACCTCTGGTTCAAGCACCCCGGGAACCCCAGGCCAGCAGGAGAGCTCAAGGGGGAAAGACGGTTTCAGTCTCCCTGGGCGGCTGCATTAAGATCCAAGATGTTTAGGAAAGGGGGAGAAACAAGCACAGCTCAGGGTGTTGCTGTCACAGGGGGCCAGGATCCACATGCAGAATTTGTTCTGTGGAAGCTGATGGGATCAAAGTGTCACATCCAAGTACAGCAGCTCCAGGAAGGCAGGACACAGGGATGGAGAAACAGGAACCTCTCCCAGGGCTCCTGGGGGAGATGGGACTAACCCGAGCCCTGCGCTTCGACCAGCGCTGGGGCAAGATGTCCCAGCTCCCAGGGAAACGAGCTTATCTCTGCAGTGCGAGGGAATAACTCGTGTATCACCCAGACTGCACAAAGTGCAGTGGAAGAAGGGTTACGACCAGTCAGTGCTTTAGCGCAACTCCTTCTGCAACACAGAGTGACGCAGTTAATTTGACAATTAATTACCATAACAACCAGGACCGTGTTTTGTCCCTTAATTTCACATCCTTTCCTGGTAGCATCCACGGGCCCGTGCTGCAGGGCTGCCCACATTGCCAAGAGCAGCAGGTGGCAACTGCAGTGCAGGAACGGGACGGGGACGTGAAGACGCTGCTGCGTGGGACACTCACCGGAGCGCGAGCGCCAGTTTAGCCCCTTTCCCAGCCCAGGATATGAAGGCAGAGGCAAATAGGTGCAATCTGTTAACCCCTGCACAGATAAAGTGCCATTAACTTCACATTTAAAAACATTTTATAGACAAAACTAGGTTAGAGCAGGGGTCAGGAAGCACACAGAGGCAGGCCGAAGAGCATGGAGGCATAAAAGAAGGGCAATAAGGAAGGAAGAGTAAAAAGATATGGAAGAAAAACAATAAAACAACTCCCCCAGCTGGAAGGTGGAGGTGAAGAGTGGCCAACGCAACCGTTTTATTGGCTTGGCAGGTTGGCCCTAGCTTCCTCCTGGCAGTTTTCTCTAGAGAGGTCACCAGCTGAGAAAGGGACCCTCTTCCCTTAGGCTAGGAAGAAGGGTTTATATCAAAGCAGGAGCTTTTAGGGGAGCTGAGTCTTAATTGTGACCAGGGTACAGTCAAATTATACTAAAGATTACTCAAAAAAATCATACCACATAAGCCTAAAAAAAAAAAAAATTATCTTCCATAAAATGAAAATCTGAAGCAATGAAACACTCTAATGGGCAAATCAAAAAGTACACAAGCATCCTGCTATGCACGAGACTGGTTCTTAGGATTACTGGGAATCAGGACCAAGCTGCAAGAGCAGCAAGCTCGGAGGGCCACCTGCTGGCAGAGCAGCCACATTTAATTATTTTCCATGTTAGGGGGATGCTGGAGCCACCAACAGCAAAGTGTGCAGTTGCTTTGAGAATAAACCTTGCTCTTGGGTTTCTCTCCTACCCTCCCCAAAGAAGAGTTATTTTCAAACAAAAATTAGTGTTAAAATATCGTATCCCTTATTTCTGCATTTATGTTTAAGCATGTAAGGATAGAGCATTTCAGCAATTAAGGGATTAAGTTCCTCCCCCACAAAGTATCAGGTGTTAATCAATACTTTTTTTTTTGATAAACATGCAAAGTTTGCAGAAAATACTTAGCAATATAGCAAAGATTTTTTTTCCCCAAAATAAAATAGATCAGGAATAACTTTATAAAAGCCAGAAGTATTGGCAAGTCCCACTTATCCAGGCCTGATGCTACCACAGCTGAAGTTGCTCTAAGAATGAGTGAGGTACGAGTGACAGAGAGGCCTTTTTTCCCTTTATTCCTTCTTGGACAAATAGGGCTGTTGCCCCCCCACCAAAACAGCCTTAAATTGCTACAAAACATAGGAAAAAGCCTGTTCGGGTCCCCAGGATAGAACCTGCAACGGGAAGACAAGTGAAGCTGAGAGTGACATTTTACAGACAAGTAATTAAAACTAACAGTTTGAAGAACAGAAGCAGCAGGCGGATCAAGGAATTTGTCAACCAGTTACAACTTTAATATAAAATGTTTAGTCCAGTCATAAGCTTAATTTTTCAAATGAAAATGAGCAGTGGAACCAAGACCTTGACCAAGATGATCTGTTTCACCATGAAGCCTGGTGGGTGACAAACACAGCAACCTTCCTGCAGAACACGCACCCCGTCCCTTCCCAAACAGACCTTCCTACAACATGATAGAGGCTGCAGCTCAGGGGAATTTAATTGATTTTTTTTCCCCTAATAATACATAGTGTATACATAGATACATATATTCTACAAGGATTTAATGGGGACAATGACCAGAGTATCTTTTCAACCTTGTGGCAGAGTCAACAGAGGTGTTAGGACCCTTGCGTTCTCTATGTATTACCTCAAGTTCATGGACATATGTTTAGCTTCCAATGGTTCAAATTCAGCATGTCAGGAGTACTAAACTCAAACAAAAAACATTCTAAAAAAATTAAAGAAAATACTGAACTGTTATTTCTTTATATGAAATCAGAACAACTATATACACCCATGCCAATCTTACTTTCTCAAAACAATGAAACAGCATGATAAAAAAAAAAAAACAAAACAAGAGACACCTTTAAGCACAACATTCAGAATTGTTCTGCATTTTGCCAGGAAGCTTATGATAACAGTTGTTTACAAATGGAGGAGACCGAGAAAGGAAGCATCCCTTTCAGGGCAAATAACTCCGGAGAATTATAGCAAAAAATGGAACAATTTGCCCAAAATGGACATGAAGGCAAGCTGGAAGAGAAATGGTAACTGTATTTCCATCAGCCTCTCCATAAATAACAATCAGCAGGAAGAGGTTGAAGCATGTTACTGCTTTTGGCAAAAAAATCCACTATCTTCCTATCAAATTTCATTGCCTCCACAACTGTTTTGGTCTTTTAAATTACTTAATCTAAGGTCTTATACCAACACATTATACTTTTGAATTTTATCTTACTAATAAAGAAAAAGCAAGTATCACTTAATTGGCATAGGGTTTTTATAGTGTACTGGATCTTTTCAATCTGCACCTGAGCAATGATCATGCTTCCACAGAGATGTTCCCACTGATAGTTACTTTTGTGAACTCTTGCTTTCTGTTAACCTAGTCTTCAACAGACCTATAAACTTAATGAAGCTGTTCCTCCAGATGAATTAAAATCATGCAAAAAGCACAGTTTTTTGGACTTGGGGTAGTTTTAACTCATATTCAGTAAATCATTGTAAGTTAACAGAACTTTGAATGAGTTAAGGCACCCAGATGCCCTGGGGGAAAAAACAAAACAAAACAAAAACACTTTGGGCTAAATACAACTAAGTGTTCAGCAGTCATGTAATTGCACAATCATCTCCCTAATTTGTAGTACAGTACTGCCAACGTCTTTAAAGACCCTAAAATATGAATACTAAAGACTTTGTGAGTACAATTGACAAGGCATTGACAAGACATTCTCAAGGTTCACTCTGGATTCCTGTCTCCTCAAGATAACTGCTACTCCTACTGTAATTGCATTTAGCAGCAAGATCAGCATGTTTTAGGAATGAAATAAATATCCTCACAATCGATACTAATGGTTCATATGCTCAAACACATTATTGAAAACAGTAAATTTCCCATCGTTCTCCTGCACAATCCGTGTTTGTAGATACAAGACCTTGGCAACAACATTCATAGCTCTCAGTACCACAGAGGTCTTTGCAAACAAATTCTAGGCTTGAAGTCTTGTCTTCTGTGGTGCTTGCAAGGCGTTTACTGCGTTCGAAGCTGGTAGTCTGTATAAAAATAAATAAATAAAATTAAAAAAATATATCTATGTATAGTTTGATGCCTATAATCAACAAATTGAGATATATAGATATGCAGAAATAACACAAAAGAAAGACTTTTATGTAGAATGACCATGAAAACAAGCTCATGCCCAAACCTGAAACAATCAGGTAAAGAATAAATGCTTCTGTGCATTTTAATGTATAGGTGTGTGCTACAGAAACAAGATATGTGAGGCTGAGATGTCTACAGTCTATTGCTTTCCAACCTACCTCCATTCTGGGTAATGTAACGAACCCACGGGAGAGCCTGATAGCCACTCTTCTCAATTATCTTTAAGTAACGGACCTGGAAAGAAAAGCATGTTCCATAAACACCATTTGGCTGAAGTGAGAGTTAACAAAAAGTGCTTCTTGTCCAAAAAAAGGTATTTTAGGGACAGTGAACAGGAATAATAAGAAGCACAAAGCTTTCAGATGCCAATATGGGGACAAAACCTGGCCAAATGCACTCACAGAATGCTTTAATTGAAATAACACAGCCACTCACAGCACTTTCATTTGAGGAGGAAGTATTTGCAGGAGACAAGAGACAGCCAGGACAATAAATACACCAGAACACTCAAGTCACCCAGCAGCTTTACAAGCAAGGCTCGAAGCTTAACTGCAACAAGTTATGTCTTGCTAATTAATTTACCATTAATTTTCTTTATTTTCAACTACTGACCTGGATTCCTGACGTGGTGAAATACGGAATCTCAAACTTGACACTAATGGGAGGTTTTCCTTCTTTATCTTCAGCTTCAACACTTGGAAGTCCAAAGTGAGCTCTCATCAGATACTCCTTTCCACCCTACCCAGAAAAAGACTTTTGCTTTAAGCAGAGTTTGAATATTCATCAACTATTAGCATTAAATAATTATCACACTATGAGGTGGTAAGACTGTAAAAATAACACTTACTGGGAAAGATTTAATGGACCAGACAATTTCACTGTTCTCTGGAACCCATTTGACGCTTCCAACTGTAGTTTTGAACTTTGGCGAATCTGCATCATTTGGAACTGGAATGTGAATCTCCACATTGTTGGCAGTTGATCTACGTTTAAACTGACTTTTTGCCTAAAGAAGAAAAGTGAGAAAAGCAGACCTCTAAATATTTCCCTTTCATTTTTCATTATGCAAATGACTCAGAGAAGTGAGACACAAAATTCCCCTCCACCCCAACCTGTTTACTGAAAAACAGGATTAAAATGCACAGATTTTATCTTACAAACGAAACCTGCAAGAGATGCAAATCCCACAGAAATACTAAATATTTGTATAAAACTGCATGTACCATCAGTCAAGCTTCAAAAACAAATGAGAGGGAAGACTAAAATTAGGCATAATTATTTTAGAACTTCTGACCTTGATCATGTACTCGATGCGACTGTGGGAATGTTTTTCAATCACAGACTCAATCCAGATCAGTGGTTTTACCTGGTGGTAAAAAAACACTCAACAGCTGTAGGTTTTGTTTCGACATGGTCAGGAAAATGTTGTTTCCCAGGCTACTCTCAGTATATAAAACCCACAGAAGAAGTCTATAGAGAGTTTCAAATGGCCAACCTCTTTTTTTAAATGTTTATACAAATGAGGAAGTATTGATATACACATACAGAATTATGACAAAACTTATAGGCTTAAAAAGTGTATCTCAGAAAAAAAAAAAAACCCTAATAACAAACACTTTCATCTAAAACATTCAATATTTCAATTCACAAAAGACTGAATTATGACAAGTCCTAAGAACAACAACTCTAATTTAAAGTATTGTTTTTAAGAATTAACACTCCATTGAGGGGCAACTTAATGACTTTATTTGCTGCCTTCTGTCACGGATGCATATTAAGTACATTCTACATAATGAACTTCTCTTTTTCTAAGGTGAAAGAGAGACCTATCACCATAGCCTAAAATACTGCTGTTGTCAGTGAGTTGCAGCACTGTCAATTCATTGTACACTTAGCTTTAAATAAACAAACAAACAAGCAAACAGAAATGGTATTTCAGAGATTTACTGCCAAGCTATTTCCAAACCCTTTCCTACTCCTCCTAAAAAGGAGACGCACGAGCCTTTGCTATTTACTAGTTGACTTGGTAATTATTGTACTGCCCACAACTTGAGAAAAATATGAGGAAAAACATTATTACCTACAGTCTATAATATTCTCATTAAAAAAAAAAAAAGATTGTAAACTAAGACCCAAACATGCAGACTTACATGGGTATTAAGACGATATGACATGAGTTCAAACTCTCCATCAGGTGGAATGAAAGAAATCGTCCTGTCATTTTCAAAGCGAGAGAGACGAACACATTGGTGAAACTTTACATCTTCCAGTTCTACTGATTTACTTTTGCCACCTAGCAGAAAATACACATGCCAAAGTTTCAAGGTACTACAAAAGTTATGTCCAAAAAACTCATCACACCTGTTATGTAGCAAAGTAGTTGTCTGCTGACAATCCCCCCTGCTTCAGCCAATGTTTTATGTGGCTTAATATAGTTTGAGGACTACAGAAGCCTCAGTGAAAGAGATAAGGAAGTCCACTGATTTGCACCATAATAATCTATTCTTGGTTGGTTCTGATGTGGTTTTCTACGCTAGTAAAGGGAATGGTTCTACCTTTTATGAATGAATTTTTCACCTGAGCCTCGAGCACCTCAAGCTCTAAGAACCCAGACAACATTTTCTTGATTATGGAGATAACACTGAAATACTCACGGCCTGTGTTATCAAAGAGAACTTTGTCATTTAAGCCAAGGCGAAGCTCTGGCATTCCCGAGAGAAAGACTCTCATTTTAATGGATCCAACAATCTCGCTCCGTAACACATTCCCATTGGCACTGACCTGAGCAGCAGGGCGAAGAGAGATAAGAACCCTCTGACGTGACACGTCACAAGAACAAACCACACTCCTCCACCCACCCCGATTTTTTTTTTTTTTGATTCCTTTCTCTTGAGAAATCATGTCAAAGGACTATGAAGAGGGAGGTGACGGGGACAAACGGAAGGAGAAGGAGGAAAGGACACACTGGAAGTTAGCATCACAGTTTGCAGAAACAAAATACATCAACTAAAGTACCATTTATCTACCAGATGCCTCAATCTTAAAATATATAGATTGTTTTATGCATCACGGTACACCTAGCCACAGTTAGTCTGACTAACTGCAGGCTATTATGAGCTTTTTACAGCACTTACTACTAGAATTCTCATTAAGAGTTCATATAAAAGACGCTCACCAAAAGGTTAACGGACTCTATAACATCCAGGAACACTTCATTTTTCCTATATTTTATCCCTTCTGATCTCCATGAAACAGCATTAGTCACAGTGGCAGGTGGACGAGGAGCTCCAGTTTCAAGTTTGTGACCTTCCTGAGTGATGTACCTTCACAACGACATAATGGGAGCAGAAAACATGAAAATTACACTTTACAGATTTTGAAGCATCTCTTATATCCGATTCATATGACCAACACTTAAAAGAATTCTGATGGGACAGACCTACATCTTGAGAAAGATTTGTTTTTTTTTGGCAAATAGATTGAACCAAAAACACTGGTTTGCATATTACAGAGCACCAGAATCTTCTTAAGGGGTATGTCACTGCAAGTGAAACAAATTGTTACTTACTCTTGTAAAATTTTACTATCAGTGGTTTGTGGATAACCAAAATCCATAAGCTCATCTAACAACTCATAAATAATAACAAAATTATCCCGAATGCTCTCTTCTTCCAGCTCCTTGAAATATTCAGAAAAAACCTGAAACAACAAAAAAGGGAGAGGAAGGAGAAGGATATTATTGAAGAACCACAGCATTATCGAAGAACCACAGCATTATCACCTCATTTAAAAGGGAATCACAGGATCTTAAGACATAACTTTTGACTGTATCAAAAATATGCATTCCAATCATTTTTTCACACCAAGTATGGATGAGCCGAGTGTAAAACACACGTTATGTGATCCTATGCATGCAATAACTTCCCAGTCCTCCCCGCTATTCTCATTTCTTATGCAGCTATTCACAGTATTGTGTCACATCCTCTGCCTCCTCAGTTACAAAATATCAATTCCATTATTAATAGTTAGGGAAATATTTCTACAAGATAACCAAATACATAAAGATATATAGAGATTTAAGAGAGGAAAAAAATACACAGAAGTTGCTTTTAAAATTTCATACTTGCCTGAACTACTTTATACAGGAATGAGAACACCAGTGACACACAAGCATTTTTCTTGGAAGTTGCAACAACTGGTAGAGGATGTTCAGGAATACACATTCAGAATTACCTTTCAAAATAAATTTATCAAGAGTATTTTCAAAACTACAGTAGATTGTATGCTACAGTATAGCAATTATGGTCGGCCAAAACATTAGGACTTAGTTAACAGTATCTCTGGTCAAGTAAGATACAAAGATCCAGGGCTCAACTTATTAGAGTAAAATTAATATAAGTATTTTTCTATGAATTAAGCTGCTGGTACACATTATATTATCTAATGCATAAAGCTGCTTTATTTAATAAATTGATCCTTATGCCACTTCCCACAGCCCTTTGCACTTAAGCCGCAAGCAGGGAAAACAACATAGCAGCAGTTGACACAGGTGCAAGTGGTCGGCAGCACAAAGGATACGATAGAGGTTGTTATGTTTAATCCACATGAAACGAACTCCTCCGTGTGCTAGGATGGGAGACAGTGTCCCCTCTTCTTCCTTTTCCATAAGGATTGGCATAAAATGCTCCACCTCCGACATGTCCACATCTCCGCGGTAATTTCGACAGATGAGAACCTATGGGAAGGGCAACAAAATCAGTAACTTTTTTTCCTCTTTTTGCGGTTGACGTTACCGTGCGGGGCAATGAAATCCTTGGAAAGCCGCTAAGTAACCTGGAAAACGTTAGTAAGTGTGACTCCAGCCTCTCTTCCCTAGCTCCTCACGCCGAAGCTGGCGGGTGCGATGCTGAAACACTTCACTGACTAGAACACGAGCGACAAGGAACATCCCTGTATTCATGTCCCTGTCACCCATGGGTGCGCGCACCGCGCTATCGGCTCTCAGGACAAGAAAACCCCTCACCGGCGTGATCGGGGCCGCCTCCGGCCTCGGCGGAGCGTAACGGGGGCCTCGGGAGCGCAGCCCCTCGGGACTAACCCCCTCCCCGCGCCCGGCGGCCGCCGCCCGGCTCCCTTCCCCGCGGGGCGGAGGGCGGCGGAGGCCCCCGCGCACCCCGAGGCCGCTCGGCTCCGTCCCC